TGGAGTGACTACTGTCAGTGTCAGTGTATTTGATGCAGTCTTTGTTCCCACTTATGAAAAGGTTTTATGTTTCCTTTAGGCCCTTAATGCTTTCTGAATTGCTTTTCTAAAATATAATCAGAAGTGAATTTTCATGCTTTGGGGAAGGAGATCAGCAGAGAATGAAGCCTTTCATTTGATAGACCACACACTCTAGATTCAGCCCTTTGGGTTTTACTGCTGAGTAGATTCAGATGTAAATTGGATTATTGTTTTTTTAAATCTTCAATAATATCCCAGACTATTCATTTTGACAGTGGCAGATTTTGATCACTGACTTTTAGTATTTTTTCTAAATGTGAAAATTGCCCCAGATCTCTTATTATTGTTGATAGTTATATTTTGAGGCAGAGATATTTTTAAAATGTTATACTTAAAACCTTTTATTTTGGCAGTCTATAGTATCATATGTACTTACCCAGTGGTGTCCACCACTCAAAAAATTGTGATCCCTAGTTTATATGAATTTGGGAAAGACAAAAAAATTCTTGGAAGGTGGGTAGTATGAAATCTGCAGCACATATAAATATCTCCTGAGTGTAATATTTCAAAATTGATTTAGATCTCATTCAAAACATGCATAGCATCCCTGCACTTCATTGGTAAAAGTTGATGTGATTTTTTTCAACCATTTGTAATATACTATAGTAATAGTTTAGGTCAGGATGTTATTTTCTTATCTTTCATATCCGTTCAGTTATCTCTTTCAATTTGGTTTTACATGTGCTAGTCTGCATTAGTGTACTATACTTGCAGATATATGCATTTGGGGTTGTGGAATGTATGTAGATGTATATGCGTATGTGTATATATCACTTATGTATATGTACACACATGCTGCACGTGTGTGTGTGTGCACATAGACACACATATATGTTTCTGTGGGCTATTTTATATGTTTGGTATTGGGGTCTAAACTGTGTAATTATATATTTAATTTATATTTTGAAAAGTCTTTAAGGCAGCAGTAATACAAAATCAAGTAAAAATGTTAGGTCACTATTCCATTTTTTATTGTAAATGGTGTTTAACCTCTCTTACTATAGAAGTTGCACATCCTTGCTTTAAAATCTATCAGTAATATAATTGTTACTTAAACTGGATTGATACTTTATATTTGAATAAGAAAGCCATTTTGCACATTTGATAATATTTTATCATTGAAGTGCATGTAGTGTAACTGGCCATGCTTAGAAGCCATTGTCCTACTGCCAATAAAGGTGTCTGTAGCAGAAGGCAAGTAACATTTAAAACCTGAGAGGCTGCAGTTAGAACTAACATTCTCAAAGCAGAGACATTGGGCCATGTTAATGAATAATTTGCTTTTGACAACCAATCCTATTTTATATTATTTAAGATATTGGGGAGCAATGGAGATGGTGGGAGGGGAATAAATTTTTTCTTGCTGCTTTTCTGATCCTTTTCCACATTAAATATTATTCATCTTATAATAGTTTTCATTCGTGCAGGCAAAATCCAGTTTCTCTAGAGGGAAATAGTTTTATCAAAATTCTGCAATAAAATTTTGAACTCAGATTTCCCATTATGCAGTCTTTTGCACAGGTATAAGTAATTGGATCATAGTTGCAAGTGAATCTCTACTGTAAATGGTCTGCAGATAGCTACAATATTCATGTCTTCAGAAAAATAAAGGTAGCCACATAATTTTTTAAATTGATGGCATTTTTACTGACATTTCCATAAAATAGATGAAGGGATAGGGACTTATTTTATTTAAAAATCACATTTTGTTTTGTTTAATGTGACTGTTACTTTGATGCTGACCATTTGATTCAGTATGTGAATCTTAATTTTTCAGCAGTATCTGAAAATGAGCTGAATTTTAAGAAATATATGTGAAAACTAGACTTAAATTTTTTCTTTTGGTTTTTGCAGGGATGAAATATAAAAGCTACAACATCTGATCCAAACATAGTGTTAACAGTGGACCGATCATCTCCAATTCTTAAAAAGCTTTTTCCAAACCAACAGCATTGCAGCTTGTTTTGGACCGTGTTACACTGTTATCAGCATGGAAAAGTGGTTTTGTTTTTGTTTTTTTTAATTTTGTAGAGGTTTAATGCAAGTTTGATAATGGACTGATGGAAAAAAATTAAACCTGGGCAAATTGTTTCCTTTCAATATGCCCTTATTTTCATCTGTTAGTGATATATGTCTGCAGATAAGCAGATGTATCTGCAATTTATCTTCTTTTATTTTTCAATTCGGAAACTTTCTAAACATTTCAGCTCCAGTGTTTGTTCACCAAACTGCTTACCTGCACTTTCTTATGCTATCTGCACACTTAAGATTTGTGTTCAGCTGACTCCTAGATCCAACTAAAATCAGATGAATTTCTTCAAAGCTATCAACATGGTATTATAGACTAGCATGTAGCATATACAATCAGCTGCTTTTCTTCTCACTGAGGAAATCAAACATGTATATACACTTGGAAGCATCAACAAGGCTAACATTTATTTTATGCTGCTGTTCAGGATGGACATAACTAACATAGTTCCCCTCCTTTCCTTGTAGCATAGCTAAGAAATTCATAGCTGCGTATTATTTCTAGCTGATTTACAGACTTGAAGTATCTGAGTGTAATATAACAATTACTGTGTAAGTTATGTCCTAATCATTGAACAGCTCACAATGCTGCTTTGCCAAATAAAATCAAAAGCAAAAAGGTGTGGCAAATAATGTTTTCAATAGAGATCTCCTGGGTAGTTGAGAGGTTGCTGAAAATATTTCTACCAAAAGTTCACTTTCCCCAATATAGAAGTTTTCCTCCAGGGTACTCATCTTGCATTGGAAAAACTACTGATCAACCAGCTTCAGAGTTTCTTCAGTATCCCAGAAAATATAAACTAGTATTACAAAGAAGAAATAACTCAATCCCATCAACCTTTAACAGATACTGGGATAGAAGTGTCCGCTTTATATTCAACTGTATTCCACATGATAGCAATGTCAATTACATTGATGAATAAGCCTTAACATTTCTATAACAATTTCTGAAGACTTTTGTCTATTTAGTTCATTGAAAAATGAGCATGCACGCTTATACAAAGCAAGCCCAATGATTCTGATTTTAAAAAGCAATTCAAGTTTATGCCATCTTCATAGCAATAAGATGCCATTTGAAAAATGTGTGAATACACTAAATATTTCAACTTAATGTGTTAATACTGTATCATTGCTGTTCTAATTGGGAAGCCATTTTAATGTATTGCTTTGGACAAAATAATTTATTTGGGATTTGACTAGAATAACTTTGAGAAAAAAAGAGGTTTTTTTAAAAAAAACAACCCTAACTCCAAGTCTTTTGAAAAAGAGATGCAAATCCTGCTCTTTCCCTAATTGAATAAAAAGAACTATTCTCCCTCATTTTCATTATCACCAGTTAGAGTGACAAAACATATTTTACTTAAATAATACAATGACCTTGTATAAATAGTTTCATATATTTAATTTATCATGGTTGTTTAACAGTTGAGTTGTTCTCAACAACTGAAATTTATGAAGCCATGTAACATAGTCAAATACATAGGGTAGTAAAAAGTAACATGAAATACTTTGAGTGTAGCATCCATTGTTTAATTTTCTAGAACTACTACTGCATATAATGAATTAACCCTTATTAAATAAATGCTTAATAATTATAGAGTCAGCTTTATAATGTTACTTAAATTATTGCAAACATGACTTCATATGGCCTTTATAAAACATGAGCTAATGCAGGTTTGGGGAAATGGCTAAGTTTAAGCCTTATTAAACACAGATTTTAAATTTAAAAAGAGTTTATGTTATTACACAGTTCTGAGAAGAAATCTGTGACCAGTCAAAAAAAGAGGGGGAAAACCCTTTGAGAGAAATAAAGAACTAATTGTTTTGCAGATAATATGAATCATTGTGCAAAATGTTGAAATCTGGAGATGAATATACTGGCATTATTGTGTCTGTAAGAACTGCTCTTCATGTTTTGGTGTTTAAATCCTCAGCTTACACTTAGTGGCACATATAAAGCATCAGAAAACAGAAGAGGATGGACTCTCCATTACATATAGTCCTACTAAGATCTTTTGTGCTGTATGTGAAAATAGAAAAAAATATACTTTTAGGCAAATCAGTCTTTATTATATAAGGTTTTTGTGCTTTAGGTCTACTTAAATTGACTTAAATGAGTTCTAATTTTAATCAGTGTTTCACAGTGTGTAATGACTCCTTATTTTCCTACTGTTCTGCAAAATATTTGGTGAACAGTACAGTATAATTTGACAAAGTATTGCATTGAATGTAGGGAGGGCTGACATAGGGAAGGACAATGAATCTTAGTATTGATATATATTAAGCAAATACACAATCTTGTGTTGATATGGATATGATATCTAGCCTTTCCATGTTAGGTTTTAATGAAAAACCTATGGGCACGTCGGAGTACTTTTTGATGATTCTGACACTCCATTTTATTCAAATACCTCCATTCATGCTCCAGTCCACTGGAGGTGAATTAGGAAGCACATCTTTTTATTATTTAAGAAAAGATACTGCTTTTATAACTAAATAGCACTTTGGATCTGAGAAAGAAAAAGCACATAAAGGTATTTATGTAATACCTCCTGGCAATTTTTAAAGCAGCTGTAACTTTTCCTGCAGTTGTACAATTGCCCTTCATGACTGCAATCCTGGAAAAAGACACATTTAGCTTAATGTGTTGTTAACAAGTGCTGTGTTCAGGCCTGTGCACACTTAAAATGTTTTAAAATGTTTTTTCCCTTTGAATCTGAAATGCTTTAAAACCCTAATTATTTAGGAAGCAGCTATCACGTTTAATGTTGTCTTTATCTCCAAATCCAGATGAATCAGCTGACTTTTCGAAAAGACAAAATCAAGTCTTTTTATTAAATGCTCAGAATTAATAAAGTTCTCAACAAGTTGAACCTAGATATCATGGAAGATATTATGACTAAAATATTTATTTCTTAACATTTCTCAGCTCAGCATCTGTAATGTGTTCATTAAAATAAGACATACCAATTTCTTGAATGTCTTTCCTGAACTGATTTGTACCTGGTCCTTCAGATTTAACATATTTATATGTTTGGTGAAGAGGAAAGATAGCTTACAATAACTCATACACAGAATAAATACTTTGCAATATATACTTAAGGAAAGGCATACCTTTAGTCCTTTAGACAATTGGATGAACTTTTTAAGTGACAAAGGTTTACAATTTTGCTACAGTAAGGGCACAATAACCAGGACTTAAAGCCTTGTGAAAAGTTTACTACTTGAAACTGCAAGAAGTTTCTAAATTTATTATCTGAGCTACTTCTGTGGGACAATTAAAAGAATCCTGAGGTTTTAACATCATCAATATTACAAACTTCAGGCATATTACTATTTTTATTCATGGAAGCAATACTCCCTACAATTGAATAAGTACAGAATAGGGAACAGTTTCAGCTCCTTAACTAAATGCTAGGCTTTAGGAATTTAGTATTTAAAGTATCCTTTTAAAATAGAACACTTTTCACCTGTTGTCTGCTATACACCCTTAGCAATGTGAGATTCTATTGCCGATACAGACCTGGCCTACTTATATATTTCAATGAAAAAGGTAAATACCCACATACAATGACAAGAAGTGTTTTAAAACAAGTAGGTAAAAGATTACTGACTTGGCTATTTCAGCATTTGAAATTATATAAACTAAATAAGTAGATAAACTAGAATTTTTTTTACTAACTTGCTTGAAAGGATGGCTAAATTGCACTTCTAATTGATTGATGGCTTAATTGTATTACTTTTAATTAGGAATGTGCAGCGTTTCAGGTTCAATTCCAATAAGGTGCCTTGGAGTAAGCATTAAATAAAGGATTTGTCTGCAACTCTTTAAAACAGATTATGTTCCTTTGCAGCTTCCCATGAGCCTACATATGGCTGGTTTAAAGAATTGTGGACACATACTTAATTCACATGCTTGTGTACTCTGAAGATTAGAGTTTCAGATATTCTTAAAGTGTTTTGAAAAAGGCAGAAATGAAAATAGAAAAGATTGAAAAGCTGTAAGGAGAAAGAAATATAAGCCTAAGGTTATATTTATCTCCAACACTGGAAGATTAAAATAGAGCAGCTAATTTTAAATTAATATGGTGAAACTGTCATGCCTTCCTCAGAGATAAAAGAGAGGCTAAAATTGGTGCTCATCTGCAAACAAAATATTTCCAATGCGTAAGTCAAGACTGCAGTTTCCCATAGATGATCTAGTACTGTCTGATTACAATTGAGCAGAGCCTGGCTGCACTGAGAAGGACCAGGCAAAGTATTGTAGATGTCAGAACTGTTATGCGATATAATGAGAACTGTATGCCTGATTTCCTAATTCATTAAAGAGAAGTGGGTTACTTCATAGCCATCGGATTGAAGTCAAAATGGTTTTGACATCATCACAAACATGATATAAATTATGTCATTTTTATCACTCAACATGTTACACATGATGCACAGCACATCATTTCCATCATATAATCTCTCTTGTATCCTCTAAGACCAGCCTGTGGAAACCAATAAGATGCTTTTAGGTGTACAGTGTCTGCTGCATTCATTGTAGAAAAGGAAGCTGATGTGTGAATTCCATTTATATATTCCAAGTGCAATTTTTCATGGGAAAATACCTTGACTAGATCATAATGTCACATTAAAAGCAAGCTTTACTTAAAGAGTTGGAAAGTAATGTCCTATAATGAGTCAAAGCATTTACAAAAATATATTTGGTTAGATGTGACTGCTGTATCAATACCTGCTGTGATGTGGGCCACTGCAACAGGACATCATGCTATTGCAGAAGTATGGCTCAACCACTTGCTTCCAGTGTTTTAAATTGAGTTTTATCACCACACAAAACTAGTTTGCAAAATAGAAATGACTGAAGAGCGTAAAGAGAGGGTAAGTTTAAAATAAAAAATTTTGCACACTAAATGTATTTTAAGCTTTAGCGGCATTGCACTCATTCACCAGTAATCTGATTTTGTTTTGGTGGGATTGCAACAGATAAATCAGATTAGCTCATACCTCCATTATTGCCAAGAATAGGCTATTCTTAAAAGTAATTCCATACTAGAGCTTCCTGTTGGCTTGAGGATGAAAGGCATTGTAGATCAAAACACCTGGAGGACACGATGTTGGTGAAAGCTACTACATGCCATCACAACTGTACATTAGTGTTTCTTAACTCTGGCAATTTGAAGAGGTATCAACTTCAACTCCTGGAATTCTGTGCAGGGTGGAAAACTACAGGAGTCGAAATCCACACATCTTCAAGTTGCCAAGTTTGGAAAAACAACTGGTGCTCATCTATCATAGGCCTTAAAAGAAAATTTTGGGAAGATGGCCGCTTATTTTGGTAACACAGTTTTCACTTTTAAAAAGAGAATTGTGAGATGCAAGAGGTACACTTTTGTGAGAAAGCTTGATAGCAAAAAAAGGTATCCTGAATCTTGCTCTAGAGATACATTCCATTTATGAGGTAATCTGACTCCTCAGATGTAGTGGGTCGCGCTTTCTTTAATTTCTGCCGGACTAATCGCAAACGGCAAGCAACCATGAGTAGCAGCAAAGCAGTGATGGCTAGCCCCAAAGCCAGTGGAAGTACAGCACCTAAAAAGAGTAAGAAGTAGAATGTATTAAGTAAGCAGCCAGCCCACAGATAAGACAGAAGCATCATATTTGCCAAAATAAACAATTTACCTTCCCAAGGACTTTCCAAAATGGAACCATTTAAGAGGAGATGAGCATATCTGTTCTATCAGGACATAGTCATGGGATGGTATAATAAGACATTTGAATAGTTTGTGTACTGTGGATTTTGTTTCACGGTGATTCACTATTGTATATTTCTGTGTCTTGGTAACACAGAATCAATCAGTGAAAAGCCCTCATCTTTACCTGTTTCTGGGACTGGAAGGCTTTTTTCAATCTGCGTGCTCTTCAAGCTTACAATATCATTGTCATTCTTCTTATCTGTGTCTTTCCCTGAGATTCTAGAATCTGTAAAAACAAAACAATGCATCATCAACATATATCTCAGTAGCAGATAAATTGCACCATGACATTCAGTGTGCTTCAAGAACTATGACTTACACTAGATAGTGTAATAAAGCTAGCTTCTTTACAGCTTGTAAAAAAACATCTTTATTTGTGGACTATAATATTTGCATTCTGAGACCCTCTTCTGAGTGAGATTTAAAGATAACTAAATAGTCTTGTTTGGATGACCCAGTTGAATGGATCATGGTGCTAACTTGATTTGGGGCTAAGCTACATCTCTCAATTTGGTATGAATTATTTATTGGGAAGTTACTTGATGCTCACATCTGAGACTAGGATGTCATCAACATGAAAAAGCCAGAGTTAAGTGTTGATGTATTCAGCCCTAAAGCAATGATTATATTATAATTTAACATGTGAAATCCAGTCCAGAACATCTGTATTTATTATGTCCTTTGGTAGGGAAGCTTCAAAATGACACTTTCAAAATGAGCAGAGTACAAAACAATTTCATTTGGTCAATAAACTTCACCAATAAGCTTGGAGAAGTAGTTCCATCTAAGAATGATTTAATGTTATCTCATTCATGGGCCAGACAAATGAAAGTTATTTCCAAAGCATCTTTGTACTATGCTTACATACAAGTGGGGGAAAGGCCTAAAGCAGTGGTGGCGAACCTATGACATGGGTGCCAGAGGTGGCACTCAGAGCACTCTCTGTGGGCATGCGCCCATTGCCCCAGTCCTAGGCCTTCAGCTGGGTTTTATAAAACCTTTTCACTTTAGGCCTCCGCCGCCGTGTACAAAAAAAAAAAAGGTTCAATCAATCAGTCAATTTCAACTTCTCATGGGAAAAAAAAAAAAGATCTTGCAAAGTTAGAATTGATTGATTGAACTTTTTAGTCCCACCCAGTCTGCTGTTACCACCGCAGCCACACCCAGCCAATGGGCCACATCCAGCCAATGGGCCACACCCACCCAGCACCCAACGATGCATAAGTGAGTTTTGAGTTGCAATTTGGGCACTCGGTCTCTAAAAGGTTCGCCATCACTGGCCTAAAGTAATACTTGAGTTATTTTAGCTTACTATTTAAAACACACCATATCGCTTAATAACAATTGATTTGATAAATCTTATTTAGCAGGGTAATGTACACAAATAATTTGGAAAAAGGGTTCAGATTTCATGGAAGGCACAAGCACAGCACCTCTCTATTCTTCATTAAAGCATGTGTGTCTTTTTTCCAAAAGCCTGAAAAAATGACCTGAATCCTTTAATGGACCACAGGCATATGCTATGCTCACACAGTCCCAGAGAACGTATTCTGAACCAGTTTTGAAACATGCACAGCAATATTATTTATTATTTACTATACAGTATAATATGCAACTATTTAATAACAAACTTTCCCAAATTTTATTTAGATTTTTATCCCACCTTTATTACTTTATAAGTAATTCAAGGTGGCAAACATTCATAATACTCCTTCTTCCCTTCTTTTTCCTCACAACAACTCTGTGAGGTGAGTTGGGCCAGGAGAGAGTGCTTGGCCCAAAGTCACCCAGCTTTGCTTTCATACCTAAGGTGGGACTAGAATTCACAGTCTCCTGGTTTCTATGCCAGCACTTTACCATTAGACTATAATGATCTAGTAAAAAATGTGGAATAAAAGTGAATCCTAACAAAATCAATAGGATTCAATACAACAAAGTACTCAGCAATAACATAACCTATTTATTTTAATTGGATAAAATGTAAATATAGAATAGAGTAGAATAATAACTTTATTGTCACTTTGAATGTACACTAATTGGCATACATTAAAATGAAATTTCATTGCATTCAGCTCTCAAAGGGTCACCACCTCCGATATACACTACATAAATATGACAAAAATAAATAAATACCGAATTATGCATATACCCACAAATACTCCCATATACTGCATCTTGTTTTTAGTATGCTTTAAAATACACTAGTTATTTTTGATCATGATAATTAGTATATAATGAAGAGTCTTCCTATCTATATTTCAACAATAGCAAAACACTTTCAGTAATAGGGTTTTTTCAATTCACTTTTAGTTTATATAGTTCCTTCAGGAAGAAAAGTGCAAAAAAGAATGATAAAAATATTCCACATTTTTTTTAAAAAACTAATTTATCATCTGCTCTCTACTTGCATTTTGTTGGGCTTGGTAGCCAAGTAATAGAGAGTGGTATAAACTGCTCAACCTGTAAATCAGTGTTTCTCAACAGCGTTAAAGTTTAAATTTAAATTACAAATGTAAATTGCAGATTTTGTAAAAGAGAAAGAAAGGGAGAAGGGAAGGGAAGAGGAAGGGAAAAGGAAAGGGAAAGAGAATAAAAGTGAAAATTTTCATAAACTTGTCTTTTTGCTGTGTTCATGTATGACAGTAGAAGGAAATTTATTTATTTATGAGACTTATATATCGCTTTAAGTGCAAGCACTCTCTAAGCGGTGTACACCAGTAAGCAATGCATATATATATTTACATTGCCCCCAACAATCTGGGTCCTCATTTCACCTATCTCGGAAGGATGGAAGGCTGAGTCAACCTTGAGCCGGTGAGATTTGAACTGCTGACCTGCTGAACACAGTCAGCTAAAGTGGCCTGCAGTACTGCACTCTAACTGCTGTGACCAAAATATGATGACACTGAAGATTCAATAATTGTGAATTTATCACCAAGTAGATTGCTAATGGCAGCAACTTTGTGACTACTGTAGTGAGGGTTAGGGTTACTGCTGACTGCTCTACAAATTCTTTTTTTGTTCTTAGAATTTGGAAATTAGAAATACCGTATATTCCAGCATATAGGGCGACCCGGCGTATAAGACGACCCCTGAGTTCGATGCTGGGTCACAAGACGATCGACGCCGAGTCGCAAGACGATTGACGCTGAGTCGCATGCCTAGAAAGTCATCTTATACACCGGAAACTACGTTATTTCCGGCGTATAAGACGATCAATGCCGAGTTGCATGCCTAGAAAATCAGCTTATACGCCAGAAACTACCTTATTTCTGGTGTATAAGACGACTCGGCATATAAAATGACCCCCGAGTTCGAGGCTGTTTCAACGCTCTCAAAAGTCGTCTTATACGCCGGAATATACGGTACTGAAAATTGTTCACCTTCGACAAAATAAATGACAAGTGCCCATTTAGTGCCCATTAACTAGTAATGTTAAATAATAATTTTTTGAAATTGGCAAACACTGCCAAGTCCACATAGATATGGTGCCCCCCAAAAAATCAGTATTTGATGCCATTCCAATATTTACATGCCATGTAAATCTATCCATTTCTATGATAGATTTTATGGTAGACAGATCTATCAAATGCAGAAATAAGCTGCACTGTAGCAGGCTGCAAAGAAATTATATTATTGGCTTCTACCAAATCTTTCTCCATCAATAGAAGGATTGCTAAAATGCAATTGGGATTCCAGTGGGGCTACAGAGCAAAGTGTTGTGCTATGTTATGTTGTGCCACCTCCCTACCCCAAAAGGTGACTGATTATTACCATGAACGTTTACACATTCAGCAAGACAGTCAGATTCTTGAAGAAAGTTGTTTTCATTGCCTTTGCAACCACCATAGATGAAATGCATGCAAGTGCCTGAAAAAGCATCAAAATGCCAGCGAGGGAGGTGTCTGTTGCATGAGCCAGTGGCTAGGGGGAGCAAGCATTGCTCTGTAATTATAAGAAGAAAAATAGGGTAACTCTTAAATCCTTGTAATTATCCTTAACATATGAAAATCAGACAGCAGTGAGGTTTTATACCTGGAATAATTGCCGTAATTTAAACAAAAGCCTATAACAGAATACAGAATCTTGTCCTTGCCCCTTCTAGAAAAGAATTTTTCTAGCCACAGTTCTCAAAATTCACCCATGTTGCCTTTTCCCCCTGAATGTAACAAAAACCAACCACCTGGAACTGTCCAGCTATTTCTACCCACTTCACTTACTGTTCTTCATATTGAAGATGTTGCTTCCCTATATAAGGCATTCATCCCTTGTATAATCCAGTCAAATAATCCTGAGGCTACATGTATCTCACCCTGGAAGCACAACAGGAAGGGTGAGGTGATGACAGAATTTCCCTACGATTCTGCCTTGGGTGAAGGGAAGTTTGAATACGTGATAGAACATTATGCTTGAGCCACATGGCATTATGTGCCATTACTATTCCGTACTATATTGAATCTGGTTTGTTCTAGTCCTAATATGTAATAAGACTTCTGTTGCTCTTGCAGCTTTGATTTAAACTGTTTTTTCCTCCTCATTGAGTAAAAACAATCTATCTTCTAATATAACAAGCTAGGGCAGGGGTAGGAAACCTTGGCTCTTTTATGACTCGTGGACTTCAACTCCCAGAATGGCTGGCTCAGGAATTCTGGGAGTTGAAGTCCATGAGTCACAAAAGAGACAAGGTTGCCTATCCCTGAGGTAGGGAGATTACAAGTAGTCCTCAACTTACTACCACAACTGAGCCCAAAATTTCTGTTTTTAAACGAGTCAATTGTTAAGTGAATTTTACCCCATTTTATGATCTTTCTTGCCACAGTTGTTAAGGGAATCACTGCAGTTGTTAAGTTAGTAAAATGGTTGTTAAGTGATTCTGGCTTTTCCATTGGCTGCTTGTCAAAAGATTGCAAAAGGGGATCACATGACCCCGGGACACTGCAACCGTCATACATATTCATACATATGAGTCAGTTGCCAAGCATCTGAATTTTGGTCACATGACCATGGGGATGCTGCAGCAGTCCTAAGTGTGAAAAATAATCATAAGTCACTTTTTTCAGTACCGTTGTAACTTTGAACGGTCACTAAATGAACTGTTGTAAATCAATGACTACCTCTACTGATTCCGTCCAAGAGGTAGTGTACTACTAGTAGAAAACACTTTTGCTCATATAAAATGAAGCCTCTCATTTTCAGAAATTTCATCCTGTGTTCACTCATGCAGTGATGCACAATCTCAATTATAATCTTCAGGAGCAGCTTTGCAGAGACAAAAGGGCTGCTGTGAGTAGGAGGCAGCCTCATAAGCACACAAAAGTGTGCTCCAGTATTACAAGAATAGCATTGACTATAGCTCTGTATTTTTTTCAAAGTCTGTGCAAAATATATAGGGAAAACATTGATTAATTCACTGGTGTTTTTCAGGTACATATATAAATTATGATCTATCTTTTGCCCATGTCTGCCAAACCTTGATTGTATACATGAGTATTACTCGTCAGATCACCTGTTTTCCTAAAGCTGTAGCTGAATTAATTGCATGCATTTCTTTAACAGATTTCTATAGTCATTCAAGGAACAATTGTGAAAATTAAACCTTAAATATTTTTGAGGGACAGCTTATCCACAAGTGGCACATTTTTCATGGCATTTTAGTTAAAAATTTGAGGGTCAGCTTATTCTGTGGGTGAGTATACACAATAATTCTACATTTGAGCAAAAATAAGCTTAACTTTGCAAGTAAACCTATTTACTAATATACTATTATAATACTGTAATACGTTAATATACATAATCATACGAATGCTTAGACTGCAGCACACTGAGGATTGTAATAGCATTTTGCCAATTCATAGGACTGTAGAAAAAAACAATGGATTCAAAATATAATGGTGGAGGTGGTCAATCGAGTAACAACAGATCCTACCTCCCCCCTCCCATTCCACCCCCACCCTCCCCTGCCCTTTCCACATGTCCTTAGATTTTAATCTTTGGTTTTAATTTATTTATGTTTTAATGTAGATATATATATTTTATGACTGTAATCTGCCCGAAGTTCCTTTATAGGGGCAGCCAATACATTTCAATTAATTAATTAATTAATTAATCTTACCTGGTATAAACCTGGTAGTTTGTTTCTTTGGTCCCTGAGAGGGTGATTGTTTGATTTTCTCTGGTTCAAGTACTTGACCGCTTAGTGTACTTGTCTGGGTGATTTCAAATGTAAGGTGTTCATTGGCCTTTTTCATTAATTCAGCTGAATTTTGTTGAATAGTCTCTATGTGAGTTATTGCATTCTGTCCTGAATTATCTGAGTATAAAAACAAACAAACACAAGAACACACAAGGAAAGCCCAATTGGATCAGGCCAAAGTCCAACTTAATTCGTTGTTTAGCTTCTCATAGTGATCAGCCAGATACCACTGAGGTGAGACAAAGTAAATGAAGGTCACATGTCATTTTGTGATGGGCTATCTTCATTTTCTCACTCACTCAAATATCCCTTCACCCCTTCCTGCTCAAAAATCCAGTCTACACATCTGCCACAAAGTTTTTCTTTTGTAGACACATAATGCCTGGACTGCATCAAGCTAGCCAACTGCTAGAGCAGTGGTTCTCAACCTGTGGGTCGGGACCCCATTTGGGGTCGAACGACCATTTCATGGGGGTCACCAAACAACGCAGTCCGCCATTTCCCCCCCCCCCTTTTCCTTAGCTGTGCTACTCCCTTTTATTCTATTGGCTTTTGAAAGCCAATAGAATAGACTCTCTTGAATAGAATCTAATTTTATTGGCTTTCAAAAGCCAATAGGAATTGTCCAGGCTATCTCTGCCCTGCTGAGCCCGCCAAAAGTTCCATTCTGCAAACGGTGCTGCAGCGAAGGGGAGCTGTCTGGAAGTTTTCACCCCTCCCTGCTGAGCAACTACTAAAAATGTAAGTAAAAAAGGGCCAGGGGTGGGAGGTAGGAGGCCGGCGGGCACAAGGAGGGTTGCTGGCACGCGTGGGGCCCGGCGGGTGCCTTACCTCCCTTGGGCTGGGCCAGCTGGTGGCCCAGCTGGTGGTCGGCCTGCGCCGTCTCTGCCGCTTGCCAGCTATGCCTCGGCCGGCGCAGGGGGTGGCACCACGCATGCGTGGCGCTCCCGAGCAGGGAAAGTCCTCGACTTACGACCGGTTGGGTAGTCCTCGACTTACGACCGGTTGGGGGTCGCGGCATTAAAAAGGTTGAGAACTACTGTGCTAGAGGGTAGCATAGTGACAGTCAAAATCCCAAATCTTTGCTGGCATCTACTGACCAATTGGACACTTGCAGCTTAAGAATGGTAGCTGTACACCACGCAATTAGCCTTGCTGAAAACATGGGGCAAGAAAAGGGCAAAGCAGACAGGTGAGACTTCCTATGCTTGTGGGACCCAAGACGACTGTATTCTTTTTAAGCCACTGGTGTGTCTAGACCACTGTTTCTCAACCTTTGGCAACTTGAAGATGAGTGGACTTTAACTCGCAGAATTCCCCAGCCAGAATTCCCCAGGGTTGAAGTCAATACATCTTCAGGCTGCTAAGATTGAGACACTACCCTAGAAGAAATCATACTGATATTAGTATGCAAATGGTAGCAATTTAAAAAAAGGAAATGTTGCTTAACCTGGTTTTTTTCCCCTCTTCTATGTGTTTTCTTTTCTTTTCAAATAATAAAAGGTACTGCTAGTTTGTATGCCACCAACAGAGTGACTGTGTGCTTGCTTTTCCTGGAAGAAAACTAAGAAGACATTGCAACTTATGGGAAACTCAGAGATGTACAAAATGTTTGAGTATCAATCTAAACCAGTGGTTCTCAACCTTTTTAATGCCGCGACCCCCAACCGGTCGTAAATCGAGGACTAAACTGGTCGTAGGTCGAGGACTAAACCGGTCGTAAGTCGAGGACTACCCAACCGGTCGTAAGTCGAGGACTTTCCCTGCCCGGGAGCGCCGCGCATGTGTGGTGCCACCCCCTGCACCGGCCGAGGCGTAGCTGGCAAACTGCAGAGACGGAGCAGGCCGACCACCGGCTGGGCCACCAGCTGGCCCAGCCCAAGGGAGGCAAGGCACCCGACGGAAAAGGGGAAAAAAATGGCGGACAGCCTTGCTTGGCGACCCCCGTGAAATGGTCGATCAACCCCAAATGGGGTCACGACCCATAGGTTGAGAACCGCTGATCTAAACCATGCTTCTATCACAATCTCAGTGATGATGGCTCTTTAGCCTTTTCATAGGAGCCATGATGGCATAGTGGTTAGAATGCAGTATTGCAGGCTAACTCACTGCTCACAGCCAGGAGTTTAATTCTGACTGGCTCAAGATTGACTCAGCCTTCCATCCTTCCGAGGTTGGTAGAATGAGGACCCAGGTTATTGGGGGGCAATATGAATCTGTAAACCACTTAGAGAGGGCTGTAAAGCACTATGAAGTGGTATATAAGTCTAAGTGCTATTGCTATTTTCCTCACCCTAAGATTCAAATGCAGGATTTCAAAATGACATGCCTTCACTTATTATTGAGCTATTATTATTATTGAGCTATTTTTTTTAATGGTTAAATGGACAGGTTCCATTCACTCACACTTCTGGCAAAAAGCTTCATCTGACCCATCAGGACAGTGGATCTCCCCATCACAGGCATAAGTGATGTCAATGCAGCAGCCATCATCACAAAGGAACTGGTAACGGGAACACGTCCCAACACAACCTGCAATAGGCCAATTCTCGGGTTAGAAAGCAAATTAAATTGCAAAATAATAAGAAGCAACTGTTTAAAATGGACATTGCAGCAGTGGAAGCCCCCCCCCCCGTTATACAACCTTTCATCCCCTTCCTTCATAAAATGGCTCTATGATTATTTCAGGTAGAAGAATAAAGCAAAACCATTCAACAAATGTTATCTCTGGATAAGGGGGAAAAAAGAAGTAACCAACCAGTTAAAACCAAATTCTGCCCATTGTACAAATTCAGCATACATGGGACCTAATCTGCATTCTACTTGCTGAGCCGAAAGCTGCTGCTGTGAGTTGATTGCTCATAATTGTTGCATTTTATATGACCTTTATTGCCTTACATTTATTTATTGGATTTATATCCTGCCTATTGTTTCAAAACTGAAGACAGTGTATGTAGCCCTCTCATTTCTTCCAATTTTCCACAACATTATATACGTCTGTTTGTGTGTCTGTGTGTGTTTGTGTGTGTTGTATGTGTATGTGTATGTGCTGTACATATACATCTATTTCACAAAGTGATTTTGTAAAGTCTGGAGAAATTATAAATATTTAACAATAGAGACTACATCCACTCCTCATTTAGCAATAACCTCAGCTAACAACCATTAGCAAATATAATAATAACAAATGGTAATAAAAATTATTTTCCAACCATTATGCATCTTTATGACCAAATTTTGGGCATCTGATAACAATACATGCTAAAGTGAGAATAATGCTGGTATAGCTGTGTAAGAGAACTATCTGAATGAGATGGCAGCAACCAATGATTTAACATTTTTTTTTTCTCTCTCCCGCTCCCTCCCCCTACCTCATGTATTCACTTAACAATCATTTCATTTTGCTTAATACTTTTCCTGGTAATTGGAATGAGATTCAGTTGCTAAATAAGGGGTAGGTCCATATGTACTGGTAGCTGGGGGCTGAATTTGGGGATTCTTGCTGTTCTCTGAGCTTGGTTTGCTTTGTGCAACTATTAGAATAGAATATAATAGAATAGAGCTGAAAGGGACCTTGGAGGTCTTCTAGTCCATCCCCCTGCTCGAGCAGGGGAACCGATACCATTTCAAACAAGTGACTGTCTAGTCTCTACTTAAAAATCTCCAGTGATGGAGCGCCCACGATTTCTGAAGGCAAGCTGTTCCACTGGTTAATTGTCCTCACTATTAGGAAATTTCTCCTTAATTCCAGATTGCTTCTCTCTTTTGTCAGTTTCCAACCATTTTTTCTTGTTCTGCCCTCTGGTGCTTTGGAGAATAGTTCGATGCTCTCTTCTTGGTGGCAGCCCCTCAAATACTAGAATATTGCTATCATGTCGCCCGTTTCTTCTTTTCTTTAGACTAGCCCAACCCAAGTCCGGCAGCCATTCTTCATATGTTTTAGTCTCCAGGCCTTTGATCATCTTAGTTGCTCTTCTCTAAACTTTCTCTAAGGTCACAATATCTTTTTTGTAGTATGGAATACTGGCTGCAGTATTCCAGGTGTGGGCTTACTAGGTTTTTATAAAGCAGTACTAACACTTTGCGTGATCTTGATTCTATGCCTCTGTTTATATAACTCAGAATTGTATTAGCTTTTTTGGCTGCTGCTGCACACTGCTGGCTCATAGTCAAGTGATCGTCCACTAGGACTCCAACTTCCCTCTCACAGTTACTGTTTTTGAGCCAGGTCTCGCCTAATCTGTACTTGTACCTTTGATTTTTTCCTGCCTAAATGTAAATCTTTGCTTTTCTCCATATTAAAATTCATTTTGTTGGATAGAGCCCATTGTTCAAGTCTGTCGAGATCTTTTTGGATCTTGAGTTTGTCTTCTGGGGTGTTGGCTACTGCTGCCAGTTTGGTGTCATCTGCAAATTTGATGAGTTCCCTTTCAATTATCTCATCTAAGTCATTGATGAAGATATTGAAGAGTACTGGGCTAAGATGGAGCCTTGTGGTACCCCACTGCTTACTTCTCTCCATGTGGATGTAGTGCTGTTGAGGACTACTTGCTGACTATGGTTTGTCAGCCAGTTACAGATCCATCTGGTGTTGTTGTCTATCCCACCTTTTTCTAGCTTACTAAGCAGCAGGTTGTTCGGAGTGACCTTTGTTGTCTGTTTAGATGTAATAGACTGGACTATCAGCCTTGTCGGATTAGGGCAGGATGTGATGATTAGTGGTATAGGTTCTTCTTTCATTGCTGCTTATTGTGATGATTAGACGTTAGTTCCTTCTTCCCTGGGTTTTGGTACGTTGATAAGGGAGGAAGTGCTCAGCAACATTTGTTCCTGTCTTGGCCTTTGATTAGTCCCTTTGAATACTTCATAAATAGGGTAGTAGTCCTCAACTTACAACCATAATTAAGCCCAACACTGAGACACTTAAGTGAGTTTTGTCCCATTTTGCAACCTATCTTGCCACAGTTGTTATGTGAATCACTATAGTTGATAAGTTAGTAACACAATTAAGTGAATCTGGCTTCCCCATTGACTTTGCTTGTCCGAAGGTCACAAAAGGTGATCAAATGACCCCAGGACACTGCACACAGTCATATATATGAGTCAGTTGCCAAGCATCTGAACTTTGGTCACATGACTATGGGGATGCTGCAATGTGAAAAGCGTGAAAAGTGTGAAAAGCGGTCATAACTCACTTTTTTTCACTAAATGAACTGTTGTAAGTCAAGGACTACCTGTATGACTGATGACAGATCATTTGTCAGAATGTCAAGCTTGTAATTCTCTTTATAAGCATCAGGGGCAACCCTAGAATATCTGTCAGCAACTGGTATTCTACAAGAACCCTTTGGTGATTGTCTTGAATACTGTATAGCTCGATCTCACTCATGCAACCCAAAATGAAAATTTAGATGGTTTAAATTGAGCTCCTGAGTAAAAGTGGGGAACATAATTCTGATAAATAAATAACAGGAGAAAGAAGGGTCAGGAGAGCAAGGATACTTTCCAGCAATGGTTGCTACGGTGATTAGAATGTTGGGGGAAATTACAGCTGAGCTGGAGAGGTTGTAAAAACTCAGAGTGGAAAGATAGGAAAAATGGAGCAAAGCCCAGGAGATAAAAGCAATGAGCCAGGCCCAGGGTGCAACAATGGAGTTTTCCTCCTAAGACTGGGGCAACCTAGGCTGGTAGAGACGGGAGGGCTGTGGGGAGGAGAAGGGAGATGCAGTATATGCAGTACAAATAGGCTGTGGTATCCTCTGGTCTTAGCACCTCATAAATCATGATTCCTGAATCTGGTCCCCAATATCTAAATCTGACTATTGGCTGTGACTCAAGAATGAGATGTTTCCTACTGGAACTGGTTATATTTGGAGAGATTCAGAGGTAGGTAGCAAGAGCCTATCAGCCTTTCAAGGTAATCCAGAGAAGAAACTAACTCTGCCTTTCTTGTAAAGGGTACAATAACAGAATCTTAAAAATCTGGAAGCACTTGTCCCTTCCCTTCCCTTCCCTTTACTTTCCAGGGAACTAGGAAGGGTCTCTTCTAAGACACTTTCCACACCTCCATTCTTTCTGTGGGCTGAGATGTCTCTTATCTCATCATTGCCCTGGCTGCTGCTCTTCTGCCTCCTGTCTTTCAAAGATATTTCTATTGACCATTACAGAGCCAGCGCATGTAGTTGCTAAGGTACTGGACTAAGAGTAGCCAGAGCCACATTCAAGTCCACCCTCAACCATGATTGCTCGCTAGGTGACTTTGGACAGTTCCATTGCTGGCTCCCAATCGACCTCACAGGATTGCTTGGCTGGGGGAAAAATGGCGGACTAGATATGCCATCTTGAGTTCTCTAGGAGCTCATTTAAGACAGGATTGAAATGTAGAAATTACTAACACACTTGGCACGCAGAATTGGTGCTGGAACAAATGCTTTTTGCATATTTGTTATTTTTATTTCCTGTTTGTACATTATGCCCAGATGTCATCTTGTTTTTGATTGGCATCAGTTTGTAAACCACCCAGAGTCAATTGGAGTAAATACCATACGGGATTCATTCAACAAGATGATTGGAATGAATGTGCATTATGTAGAAAGGAATGAAGCAATTCTTGGTATTGTATATAGAAGGAAAACTACTTTCTTATGAGATAAAGTTGCTTAAATGTGTTGCTCAATTTCAAGATCTCTTCCCAGGTTAGTATTTTGGATCCTACTATAACGGGTGCCACATATGATGGCAAAATTATATCTTAGAGCAGGGGTCTTCAAACTTGGCAACTTTAAGACTTGTGGACTTCAACTCCCAGAATTCCTCAGCCAGCCAGTCCACAAGTGTTAAAGTTGCCAAGTTTGAAGGCCCCTGTCTTAGACACCACCTCTATAGAACAGTTTACTAGTATGCATGAAATAGCACGCCAGGAGAGCCAAATGAAAAAGAGGCCAGGCTTTTGTACAGTGTGTTTTTCAACCTTGGCCATTAGAAATTCTGGGAGTTGAAGTCCACACATCTTAGAATTGCCCAAATTAAAAAGCACCGGGGTAGAAGGAAATATGGTGGATGTTGTACATTGTGGAGATTACCGCTTTAATGTGGTTTAAATAATAAGACCTACACCCTATTTGCAATGTATTTAAAGCAGGTTCCATTGTGATTTTAATTACAGACATACACAATCTCACTCTCAGCCATCAAAACAAGAAAACAGTGGTTTCAGCAGTTTTCTTACCTAACTCAGAATGAATCATTGGAAGTACAGTCACTGAGATGTTATCCGAACTCCTTTGGCCAGCTGTGTCAGTCACAGTCAACTGCAGTGTGTATTTTCCTTCTGGCATATGAGAGAGCTTCAGTGTTCCTGGCTGAGGTACCTGAGCCAAAGAAAATAGGGTACTGATGGGATCCCATTTTTCATACTAGAGCTACCAAGGTACAACTCTCATAAAATCATGTGAGGACTGAGATGCATGCACACGTGCAAAAGTGCACACACACACAAACACACTATCATATACGTAGGAGGCTGTAATTTTAAACTTGTTAATACTATATCATGTTTTCTACCCCTCCTAGGTTGTCTCAGCACAGATAAAGCAGGTCCAAACATGTCTAGGTTTTATTGGGAAAATGGATACTGGAAACAGGAACAGTGATAATTTGTAAGTCTCCCACCCTACACCACATTGGATCAATGCTCTCTCAGATTTCAGAATAGCTGTAGCAAAACTGCAGATTGAGAATGTAAACATTTCAGTGCAGTGCTATCATAACAGAGTAAAGTGTTTGAAATTCTCCAGCTCTCTGCTGATCTTAAAATACAAAGGGGAAATTCATATTTTACATCTCAGTGAATCAAGCAACTTTCTCAAGGAGCAAAGAGAAGGAGATCGTTCTTTCAAGCCCTCAGGCATACACACATATTTCGCACAGAGAATCAATTTCTTCACAGCTTTTATCACTGGCATTATAGATTCTATTCAGTTGCTTCCAGAATTTTTTTACTATAGATCTGGGAATTCAATTTGGCTAACATTACAAGCTTTATGGATGCAATTTGCTTATGATTCGACCAACTGATCTTCTCATTCTATAGATCCCCACATCCATCTTTCCTTGTCATTGGTTGTAACTTCCATATGTTGAATAGGTGTGCATAAAACCGAAGCATCGAAATCTTAGCACCTCATTGGGTTGCACGTGGAGAAGGGCACTCTATTATAGCTACTGGAAGAAAAAGGACAGGGAAGTCTTTGCAGGCTTAATGTAGAAAAAACAAACCCTACTGAAAAAAGATTATTACAGATAGAAATGCATTATTTTTTTCCTGTTATGACTAAATCACAAAGCAATATTATTTCTTCTACAGGGGATGGGTCTACTCCAACATTTTTCAACCTTAGCAATTTTCAAGACATGTGGACTTCAGTTCCCAGAATTCCCCAGCCAGTTTAGAGTTGTGCTTCACATGTCTTTAAGTTACCAAGATTGAGAAACCCTGATCTATTCTGTCAATTTTCAACAGCAGGTGGCATCCATGGCTCAGAAGGCCTTTGCACAGTTACAATTATACATGTAGTCCTCGATTTACAACAGTTCTCTTAGTGACAGTCTGAAGTTGCAACAGCATTGAAAACAGTGACTTATGATCACTTTTCACACTGATGAACCCTGCAGCATCCCCTTGGTCATATGACTTACATTTGGATGCTTGACAATTGACTATGATGGTTGCAATAACCCAGGGTCATGTGATCACCTTTTGCAACCTTCCAACAATCAAAGTTAATGAGGAAACCAGACTCACTTAACCACCATGTTACTAATTTAACAACTGCAGTGATTCACTTTACAAATGTAGCAAGAAAAGTTGTCAAATGGGGCAAAACTCACTTAACAAATTTCTCACTTAGCAACATAAATTTTGGGCCAACTGTGATTATAAGTTGAGGACTACCTGTGCCCACTTTGGATCAGGAGGCCCTGTTCATAATCAATCATGCCTTGGTCACCTCTCAGATTACAGCAATGTACTGTATTGTGAGGCTGTCCTTGAAGACCACTTGGAAGCTGTAGCTCAGGGGTGTCAAACTGCCGGCCCGTGGGCCGGTTTCATCATACCAAGCCACGCCCACCCCATTGCTGGCAATGCAAAAAAAGTTGCAATACATCACGACACGTCACGTGACGTGGCACATTTGACACCCGTGCTGTAGCTGGACCAGAATGCAGCATTTCAGATAGTTATGGGGGTTGTCAGACCCTGCGAGGCCTTGCCGACCGGACAGGTGGAGCCACTACTTGCTTATTTATTTATTTATTTATTTATTTATTTATTTATTTATTTATTTATGAGACTTATATACCACTTTAAGTGCAAGCACTCTCTAAGCGGTGTACACCAGTAAGCAATGTATATATATATATATATATATATATATATTTACATTGCCTCCAACAATCTGGGTCCTCATTTTACCTACCCCAGAAGGATGGAAGGCTGAGTCAACCTTGAGCCGGTGAGATTTGAACCGCTGACCTGCTGAACACAGTCAGCTAAAGTGGCCTGCAGTACTGCACTCTAACTGCTGTGCCACCTCGGTGCAGTTCCGGAGAGGCCCTGTTCGCCATTCCGCCACCCTGTGTCTCCCTGCGCCAGTGTGGCCGACTGCCTTCCTGTGGCGCTGTCTGACGTCATCAGGAGACGCCACTGACGTCATCAGGGGGTGCCCGGCTCCATTTGTTCCTCCTGGGTTATTACTGCCAGAGTGAACTGTGGGCATCCTAGCCTCGCTGGATCCGACAGCGTTTCGGCGGGCTACGAGGACAGGTGGCAGGGGAAAGGGACTGTTCTTGTCTAAGCTGCTGGCAAACGGCCTTGCATGACTGAGGGTGTATTGGCAGACGGGGAGGGGGCACGAGGATGAGGTGGTAAGCAGGGGAGGGGCTATGCACTGAACAGGCGCTTCTTTTTAACACCGCTCTAATCGTGGCTTGTTAAGCTGGGGCTGGGCCAGGTTGGGGTGGGGTCCGGTGTGGGTGGGGTGTGCTTGTTGTATATAAGGCACTGGGAGCAAGTCACTCCCAGTGCTAACTTTGTTTCTATATAGCGAATAAAGCTAGGGGTATCTCAGTATGCCCACTTAATGTGAGTGAAGCTCACATTGTGGTTATCAGTGTGCTTTGGATGGAAATTAAGATGTAGATTCTCATGTATAAAGCTCTTCATGGTGCAGGGCCATGTTACTTGTGCAGTTGTTATCTCTGATGAATTCAATCTATCCAGTGAGATCTTACAATCTTGGCATGCCTATCACTTAGACAGGGTTATCTGGCAGAATCTAGAGGATGTGCCTTCTTAGTTGCCCTTCTTGCCCTTTGGAACAGCCTCCCCGTGAGATTTGGTTGGCCTGACCCTGCCTGCCTTTCAAAAAGCATTACTGGCTCTTTCCCCAGGTACTGAATCAGGTATGCTCCCATTGGTTGAACCTTTTTCAAGCATTTTATGTCCTGTTGGGTTTTTGATTATTTGTTCATTGTGTTGCTTTTATATTCACTCAATTGTGATTTGTTTATTGGTGATATATGCTATTCTGAATCATGTGCTGAGAGGGCAGCTATATACATCACATGAATAAGTCAATAAACTTCCCAAAATAAAATGGCATTTGCCTTAGCACCAGGCATACTGACACAATACAAGCTGTCCTTATTCTAGCCAGCTGTCCCTGACCTAAATGCTGTGGGTCTTTCCAAAAGGCACTGTGATATGTTTAATTTCTCCTTACACCACCGCTTGCTCAGAATTCAGGTGACTTGAACAAAGCATCTATCTTTTATCTTGATCAAACATAGAGTTCTAGTCACCATTGTAAGCTGAAGAATAGAAAATTGACTCATTAACATCAACATTACTGTGAGCAAATATAACCAGTAACTGACCGCAATTATGTTAACAATAACTGTAATCAGGCTTTATGTGTTGGCTTCTAGGAGGCAACCACTTTCTGCATTAGGGGTAGCCATGATGACTGAAGCTGCTAAGACCACCTTCCTTTGTATGCAGGAAACACAACATATCTTTTGTGCCACATCTGATGGGACAGGCAGCTGTGATTGGGGGTAAGGTGGCTCCTCAAATAATCTGACCTTTTTGCCATGTAGAAGGTTGCTCATAATTTTTACTATTTAAGTTTTCCTTGTTGATTTTTTTTAAATTCCAGACACCAATTATAATAGGGGTTACTTTTTCCATACTCTCTCTTACTTTATAGTCTCTTTTAAGAGGGGGAATAAAATGGATGTTCGTGATCAAAGTCAATTTGCAGTCATTCTTTGCTTCAGTTCAGCAGGTCTAAAACTTTTTATGAAACTTAAGCAAACTGAAGGTCATTCAGTATTTTTTTGGGGGGGGGAAACTGCTAAATTTAAAGTGAAATATTCTTATTTATGTTTGGGGTTTGCCATATGATTTTTTTTTCCAGATAGCAATTTAATTTGCAAGATATACCAATAAAACAGCCAAATCGTTTAAGATATAGGATAGGCATACCCTTTTAATATTAATTTTGGAATTTGTTTTGTCACAAAATAACTAATTTAAAGATGCAATAATACAAATTATAATATTTCGGTGAATTGCAACAATATTGCAACCCCATTGAGGATAAACTTTGATTAAACAAAATATGATTGCAGCACATAATAAATAACTACATAATAAAGTAATAACTACTGTAGTAGTACCCCTTCGACTGCATCTGTATGATGACAATAGGGCAAGTCCTGAATTCAATAAATAACTACAATTTTTTGGAAGTGTTCCTATAAATTCTTTGTACTGTCTAAATCGATTCCTGTAAACAATATTTTGCAGTGATAATAGATGCAGTTATTTTGCTCATAGATTTCTCAGGTGAATCTTTGTTTAAACTTGGATTCTCAAATTCTGTGGTCCTGTGCTTAAAATGTTGAAGTAATCCCATGAATCAAGTAAGGAATGTCTTCCCAATTGTAATGAGTGCCAGATATCAGCTTAGCATCAAATTTTTCCCTTAACTCAGGGGTCTTCAAACTTGGCCCTTTTATGACTTGTGGACTTCAACTCCCAGAATTCCTCAGCCAGCATGCCTGGCTAAGGAATTCTGGGAGTTGAAATCCACAAGTCAAAAAAGGGCCAAGTTTGAAGACCCCTGCTTAACTATTCCCTGTTATGCATGTAAAACTGCAGCCCTATCCAACTCAGTCCTTTCTCCCCATTCAAAAGGCAATCTTCCAGGATATGAGGAGAAAGTGAAAGAGATATGAGCAGCTACTAGAGTCAAAGTACTATCAGGCACAATTTTCTTCCCTGTGCATTTTATACCATCTACCTCTTCCCCCTACCCCTGCATGGGATCTTGGTATCCTATCCAACATAAAAACACCTTCTTTTGCAAGCCTCTCTTCCTGGAATCAGGAAACCTGGAAAGGAAAGGAAAGGAAAGGAAAGGAAAAGAAAAGAAAATTTCTGGGGATTCTGTACAGCACAGGTCCTCAACCTTTTGGGCACTGGGGACCAATGCCATGGAGAAAGATTTTTTCGCGGACCAGAGAGGGTGTGGTTTTGAATACTGCCTGCATCCCGAGGATGGAGCTTTGCTTGTTTGTGCAGCCCTCTTACTAGCATGCTGTGGACCGGTACCGGTCCGTGCACCGGGGGTTGGGGACCCCTGCTCTACGGGTGAGTCTGTCCCATTCCTTCTATTTCCAGAGTCCACTGCCACCCAAAGCACCCTTTCTTTCCTTTTCTACCAGTCATCTTTGCATATATCTCCCTTGCCCCAACTTCTTTCAGTTTTGCACATGCCTTCAAAATAAAGAAAAGGTGACTCTGTCTTTCAATGCTGGAGCCCTGCAGTGTCCAAGATATATATTTTCCTAAATATGCGAGCAAACATATGGTACTCATATTCTGCAATGCCACCCCAAGCAATTGCTCACCAAGGCAAGAGAAAAAGCTGAAGCAATCTTGACCTGATCTTCTCATTACCAACTAGACCGAGTGGAAGGAGAATGCACTTAGGACCATATTCTATAACAATCACATTTGCACATGCAAAGCTAGAGTCTATGAGAACTTGATCCTGCTGTGACTGGGAAAGCCAACTACTAATTCGTCTAGGCAGGGCAGAACCACATTTCAGAGTAATCAGGCTTGTTTGAGCAACTCCTCCCATTGCAATTTGCTTGCTATCACTCAGAGGGTCATAACTCACATATTGACGCCTAACTTAAATTATCATGTCAGTTCCTTCCTTTAGTGTGGACCGTTTGTTTTGCTACTTCAGGAGGCTTATTTGAAAAGAATATCCCCCCCCCCAGAAAGATTAGCTGCAATAAAACAACATGTCAATATAATCTGCTCAAAAGACTGAGTGACTAGTCCACAGTCACTCAGTGGATTTTCATAATTGAGGGTGAACTTGAATTTTGTTTGTTCTTCATCATTGTGATTTATAAATCATGATTTATGGCTTAACATCTGTGAAACCAACTGTGATTTTTTTCAATAAATTGTGATTACATAAACCATAGCTTAATGAAGATGCATGAACTAAATCTCAGATCTATTTAAAAAATGAACTTAGTTGGATATGACTATAGTAGCTCCATTGATTTTAATATATTTAGTCTGAACATCACTAAATCTGAATCTAATTGTTCTCTGTCTATGTTTGCCAGGGTATTTGCACACATTCATCTGTAGACCCAATTTCACACATGCATGCTTCAGGAAAAAGAAAATTGAACAAAACAAGTGACTATCTCTAATATTTCCTTACTTTGCTTTATTCTGACAGAACAGTGAATATTTAACTTAGTTGTTTCTAAAATCCCACAAAAGGTGCAGCAAATAATATACCTTGAATTACAAAACATAATGTACCTGCATATCAATTGATGATGCACCTTGAAGTAATGTCCATTCAAATCGTGTGATTCCATGGTCATCCACACTTTCTCTGCCATCCAGAATAACCCAGTCAACAGGTAGCTGAAGAATAATATCTTCTCCCGCCTTGCTAAGAGGAGGCTCATCAGTGTCTAATTAAAATAAAGAATCTTAGTGAAAAAAGTTAGGATTATTGTCTTTGCCTGACTCACTTGTATTGTTTTATTGTAGATTTTTAAATCAAGAAAAATCTGTCCTACCAACAAAGTATTTTGATCAATCTACTCCAGACTTTTAGTACAAGGTTATTGAACACAGATGAAAAACTTATATATTTAAGGTTTATAAAGCCTATATGTAAAGTAGATTCTGAGATTTTAAATTAGATATCATTTTGCTTTCTATTTTAACCATCTGCTCTGATAAGCATATATTCATCTATACAGTTTGATGGCTTTATGGTCATGGCTTTGAAACCTAGTCCTCCAATTTGCAAAATGTTTTTTTTTCCTTGTGAGAAAGGCTTCTGCTTTTCAATTTGATACTCAGGATCAAGCTTTTGTTTAGAATATATTTTGATACAGGTTTTGCTTACCTAGAGTTGCAATTTGGCCAAGAATGCCCTTGTTGTTGAGTCCCCCCCCCCACAATTTCCCATCATTCTGCAGCCTTCTAGGCTGCCTTTGCTTCTGAACTAAGAACATGAAACATAAATTATCTCATGTCTTTCTTTGGGTTTTAAATGAATTGTGGAAAGCCTGGAGGCTGCACGCTGCTGAAGGGATAATTGTATAATGAATGACAAGCGCTGCTTCACATATCACTTGAAAGTCTTACAATGTAAGTGCATGCACCTTGAACCCCTCCTAAAAATGTTTCATCAAAATATCTTAAGTTTTGAATTTTTAAAAATGAAATTTATTTATAGATTCATTAATTGGCATGTCTAAAAAACTGCAGCAGAAAACATTGGCAGATTTTTTTAATTGACTCAGTTAAGAATCTCAGGTGAAGAGGCCCACTGAGCTCTTCTGATCTACTGTGCACAATAGTTGGATAATATTTTATGCTCATGATTATCCTGCTCATTTTTTGAGCCAGGCTAGTAAATGTAGCTTTAGTGAATTTGAATAGGTTTAAAAATAAGTTGTGATCTTGGTATGGATCTGAAAGCCTCTTTAAAATGAGCAAGACAAAGGCATACATAATCATTGCTCATTTGGCTTGTCCAGAGCCCCAATTCCTAGCCAGCAATAGAAATCTGAGTTAAATATCTCACACAACGGGGCTATAAAAAATACAGTTCTAGTGCTCTTGGAGAATAGCTGCAAGAATAATTTGAAAAATGGAGGGAATGAACCCAATGTATTGATTCTGGAACTGCAGTAACACAACGACTAATACGTTGTTAATTGAATCATGGTTTATTGAATAAACACAGTTGACTAGGTTAACTGTGGGCTCACACACAAATGAGGAAAATACATTTCACTTCTAATATGCTGGGTCAATCACTCAGGGTTAAGACAACTTCTTCATTCCCTAATAATCACAGATTCATTTCCAGTCAGAAAAATAACACTAACCTAGCTGTCCTTTCCTATCCATGTCTAATGAGCTGTTGGCCCACTAAACAAGATATGTTAAGAACAAACACAAATTATCACTGTGCAAAAAGATAAATTTATGTTATGAGGTGGACGAGTTTGAAGTAGTTGGTCTATATATATCAAAATTAGATTCATATCTGACAATTTTTTTGCCAGTCCCAAATCAATTTTGAAGTAAGAATAGACACTCTGAACACCACTCTTTAAGGATTTAAAGAAAACAGGCCCAGAGTAAGGCAGCGAGGATGATCACTGAATGAAAAAGCTAAAGAAATGGAAATGTAAAGCTTTCACAAAATTGAGAGTGAGGTAGAATATAAAAACACTCCTCAAATTCCTGATGTCACAAAGAAGAAAGCAAAATCCTGTTCTGTATTATCCCGTGATAATTACAAGAATGCACTTGAAGCAAAATTTCACCGAGGAAACAATTATCCATAGGGAGTGAGCTCCCTTTTATTGGATATAATCAAGCAGAGGGTATACCCCTTCTGGGAATATTTTAAACTGAATACCCACCAAGCAAAGCAATGGAATTGGGGGGGGGGGAAATGGCCTGTGCAACTATACAAATATGTGAAGAAGATGATGCTGGCATTTTTTAACTATTAGCTGCCAAGTGTTGTTTGCTGAGATGATAGATAGATGATAGATAGATAGATAGATGATAGATAGATAGATGATAGATAGATAGATGGATGATAGATAGATAGATGATAGATAGATAGATAGATAGATAGATAGATAGATATAGATGCAAAAGAGGGAGAGAGGGAGGGATAGAGAGAGATGATAAATCAATTTTGGGGGCGGGGGGAGGAAGTTAATACTACATGACCTCTCTATTCCTATATTTTACTATTAAAAATATTTATTCTTGAGCCTTCTGCTCACATGCAATTCATTCCCCCACTTTCTTTCCTGAACTGAAACCGTCATTATTTTAGCCCCCTTTCAAGAAACCGGCCGAACTCTAAGTCGACGGCCTTCTTCTTACCCAAAGCCGGAGGGTGGCTGGTGGGTTCCAGGAAGTAGCTGTTGTAGCCGCGCTGAGGGGAGAAGACACAGACGGCGCGGCCACGATAGGTGCAGCTGAAGAGATAACAGCGGACCGAGGCCGATTGCTGCTGCTGCTGCTGCAAGACGGCGAGGGTGCAGCGGGCATCGGCGCAGCAGGCATCCAGGCAATGCCTGGGACCAGCCACCGAGCTCGGGGAGCCGAGGAACGTGGCACCCGCCGCGATGGAGTCCTTGGTGCGGATGATGGAGTCGGACCTGACGGAGAAGAAACTCCCGCCGCCGCCGGCTGGTCCTTCAGTCCCTCCTCGGCAGTGAGCGGCCGCTTCCTCCAGCTCATTGCTGCGGCCGCCGGAGGGATCCCTGTCAAGCTGCAGCTGGCGGCGGAACTCCTCCAGCAGCGATTCCACACCCGACGCTGCCGGTGACCTTAGTTCTCCGGTTGACGGTGCCGGTGCCCCCAGAAGCAGAAGAAGCGGCGATAAGAGCCAGAGGACGAGGAGGCCCGGGGGGCCGGGCACTTCCGCGGCCATAGCACCCAAGCGAGGCCAGCCACCGGGAGCGGAGGACGATGGCGGTGCTGACGACGGAAGGTGGGAAGGGAAGCCTGGCTGCTACCACTGCGGTCCGGGAGAAGGAGAAGGAGGGGGTGGCGGCCGCGCCATGCTGGCCCCTCCCTGCCCCAGCCGCCGAGGACGGAGAGCAAAGCCCGCGACCTCAGTCAGCACCACCGATCCCCGAACAGTTCCAAGCGGGAGGCCGCCCCACCCTGTGACGCGAGACCCGGCCCCGCCCACGTTCGGTGGGTGGAGGGTGGAACTCTGGGAATACCCCGCCTAGACCTCTCCGGTCGCCGGGGTGGGGGTAGTCACTCCTCCTGACGTTGCGTGGCTGACGTTCAGAAGGTGGAATTGCACGGAGGGAGTAGGGATTCCGGGTAACGTCTGAAAAAGCTCCTGATGCCGCGCTTCTGCTGAAGCTTGGCACATGCAAGTAGACATCTATATCTGCGATGGCAGATGACCTCATCGATTCAGGTTGATCATAACGGAGGAGGAGGAGGATGTTTCAGCTGCTAAAAAAAGCAAATTATACAAACTTTATTTTGTGTTGTATTACAGATGTACAGAGATCAGATCCCAGTAAGAAATTGTCCCCACTCTACAATACTCTTCCTTTGGAGAATCACATGTCGCAGTTGTAGATGTAACGAGTGCAATCTGACACAGACCGATCAACCATCCAGACATGTGGCTCCTCGGCCAGTTTTGTTATTAACCACCGTGCATTTGTATTTACAACCATGACAGTCTCACAACAGCTGCATTTGCTTGACAACCACTGCAAAGAATTTGTAAAATTGGATTGGCCACATGACTAACTGGTTTTATGACCCCTATGACTTATGACTGTAATGGGCAGATTCTATTATGGTCATAACTCGAGGATCATAGTATGACATTTTGGTGACAAACCCAAGCTGGCTGTTATAAATTGTTGTGTTCCTGTTCAAGGGATCATAAATATATTGTTTAATAAACTGCTTAACTATCTTGACTATACTATAGGCCAGTGGTAGAAAACCTTGGCTCTTTTATCACATGCTGGCTCAGGAATTCTGGGAGTTGAAGTCCACGAGTCACAAAGGAGCCAAGATTGTCTACCCCTGGTATAGGCATTAAGCTAGCATATTTGTAACTCCCTGAGTTTTCCTTTTGCCCTGAGACTTCAGGATTCTCCAGGAGTTCCCAGAGATTAAATTCAGCTGCTCTGTGATAATCTCTCAGTTCATTAGGATATCATTATTCTGGTCCTGGAGATCTTAATTCATTTAAATTAACTAAGTATTATCTTACCCTCTTCTTGTTCCTCTTGAACTTCAGTTCCTTCCTTCTACTGCAGACATAATGCTGACTGACATCTCTCTCTCAGATCAAGACAGTTCAAAAGTATATAGCCAGATGTTATTATATGGGATTCAAATTGTGTATCAGGAATTGAACTCATGAACTTTTGCACTTTAGATCCCTTACTGCAATACTGCTAACTGTCAAATTTGAATAGCTTTTGAAACTAATATATGTAATCATTTGAAGTACAAAGGTCCAGGAGCTCACTTCACAATAGGTTTGACTTCTATAGAATATCATCTGGATACACATGTCTGAACAGTCCCTAATAGGACAAAGTTGGTCACCTACTGCTTCGTACTGATCAATGAAACTGAAAACACCATGTAAATTAAACACTACTGTATACAAAAATACATAAACCACCCCATCTTCACGACAAGAGAATGAAGGGTGAAGTCATGTAATGCGCCATACATGGGGCATGACATAATACCACATTATGCCATAATACTCCAGTGTTTGTTATATATCACTATGATAGATCATATCAGGTCTGTACCCTGAGGCTTAGTTCTTCTCAGCAGAAAATGATCCCCCACAACCACTCTTCTTTCTCAAAGGGATTTGGGGATTTCCGTGACCCATGCGGGCAACATTGTCTTCTTCCCTTTTCTATGAATCTTAAAATGGCAGGTCTTGTTCAGGTGGAGCCAATTTTCATTCTGAGTGACAGCCTTAGATCAGTTACTGATTTATTTAAATATTTTCCATTTATTAAATTTGCACTCTGACTTTTCATTCAAAAATTCAAGATGGTGCCCAGAATATTCCCTCCACCTCCACTCCCTTCAAATACATTGGGCTGAGAAAGAATGGCTGGCCTAAAGTCACCAAATGAGCATTCATGGCTGAAGAAGGAGTTGATGTTCCTGGTCCCCATCCAACAGCTTAACCACAGCTCCTCATTGGCTATCCATGTGATCAGCACCACAAATTTCCTCCTGAGCCCTTTGCTTTGCTGAGTCAGAAGCTTCCACTTGTCTTCCTCTTCAGCTTCAATTTGTGACTTTTATTTATTTTTTCAGTACTCTGCATTTTATGGAAAGATAGCTGCCTTGAGGGCCCCAGTTGAATAGAAAGGCAGGATAGAAATAAAACAATCCAATAAAACAGAACAAATCTAATGCAATATGCCAGACCACACTAGGAATCTTTGGTTTTTTCTCAGTGCTATTTAACAAAATTGAAAACATATATGAATAAACCATATTTTATGCTGAAATTTAATTTTAGTTGTACACTTTCCATCTCAGGAGAGGCATTATAAAGGCAGTCATTTTAGTTTTTATTCAGAAGGTGGCAGCAGCTTATAGTGTATAGATAGAGTATATAATTTTTGAGTATGTTTAATATAGGTATCATGCTACCTTTTTGTGATAATGAATTATTGATAGATATGCTACAATAAGGTAAACATATATTTTTGTGTTAATTATTTTCCAGCTCAAAACTATTTCCTCAAAAGTAAAAAAGGATTTCACAACAGAATTCTTTACAATTATAATTAGGAAGGATCCACTGACTTTCTAGATTTAAGATTCTGAAAAAAAAAGTGTTAATCCAGATTGGTGCTTTAATTAGCAAATGCTAAGATTTAATGTGTTAATAAATAAATAAAAGAAACAATCAGATCACATCATGAATTATGCAGCAACTAATTCTGCTATTTGTCTGTGCCAGCTTCCCCAGCCTTGACATCCTGCAGGACTATTGGATTAAATCTCCAGTATTTTCAACATTGGCCATGTTGACAGGGTGAATCTGGATAAATCTTGGGTAAGTCCTATCTGGAGAGCAACCAAATTGGGGAATGTCTTATCTGACCATCAATCTGCCTTTCCTGTATCATAAGTAGAATCTTTCTGTGGCTTACAACTACTAATATTCTCTTACTATTTTCAGTTTTTTTAGATGTTGGTTTATTTTAAAATGGTTCAATCTCTCTGTTTTTTTTTTAACTGTGAGGAATAGAATATTACTGTCTTGAAATTCAGCAATTTCCCCTCATTTCAACTTGTATGTGACGTTTAACCTACTCTGTATGTGCAATCATAATTAGTTTCTTTTCCTTTTCAGATATTTAAATTAACTTATTACAATCTTCTTCCAAAGCTACCAAACACTGCCAACTACTCCCAGATAGTTAAATGTCTTATATTCAATATGGATGCAATAAGCTAAATGAAGCATTTCATTATGAAAAAAAGCTCCATGGAGCATGTCGGAAGAAGAATACATGCACACTTATAACATATGACACAAAGATATAAATGAAATAACCTGTGGATTGAGCTATAGGGTACATATGAATGTAGTAAACAGAATTACTGAGTAAATTAATATGAAAAAATAAGTTGTTTATGCCTGAAGAGCAAAGATATGCAGTGCTTAATTCTGCCCCTGTAGTCTCTTTTTCTTACCCACATAAATCCACTCTGCTCCAAACATATCTGGAGTATCTCTCTTGGGTGAGGTAAGGATATGGCTTGGGGAAGTGTTAGGATGTTGTGGAAGAAGCTAGAAGCTCCTACTTCCCTCAAACAATCCTTTCTCAATACCACATGGCCATAGAAGTACTAGTTTCACCAATTTACACAAGAGTGTCATCATCATTGAACTATCAGACATGGATATCATTCTTCTACAAAATATTGCCCATTACAGCTTGGATTATTTCTAGAGTTCCCATCAGCTGAGAACTCTCCAGATCCTTCTCACTGTTTTAGTACAGTGAGGTATTAATGATGCATTTTGTGGCATCCTGTAGCAAAGGAAAATGCAAATAAGTGATTTCCTTTCTTATTGTTTTTGCCTAAAAGCATTTTTTATGAGGTGTGATTAGGGAAAAAGTTACACTGTATAATATATTTTGCACATGAATACCCATAGAAATAGTGGGTTATGAATGATTGTATGCGTGTTGTGAGAGAGAGAGAGAGAGAAAGGGAGAAGGAGAAAGAGAGAGAGACTGTAGCCATTGTTTCTCTGCCTAGATACAGCATAACTGACTGCACAGCCCTAGGTAGACACCATGCAGAGCAGAAAAGGACGCAGAGGAATTGATGCCAGGAGAATCCTTCACATCTTGTTTAAGAAAAAAAATGGCAAGTAAAAAAAAAACAATTTGAAGAGTTTATCTTTTAATTTGTTGGTTGCTTTAGGGAGAAATTCATGCTTGACAGGGAAAAGCCCTTTGGCACCAAAAGCACACTAAGCACCTGCAGATGACTGTTGACATTGCCAGACAAACGTTAGAGAGAGAAGAGACAGGAAACAAATGGGTCACAACTGGCCCAAAACAAGCCTCACTCCCCACAGGGTTGGTTGCTTAAGAGGCATGGAATGTAGAAGAACCATTTTCCTCACCTTGCTCAGCAATGATTTGATGGTTCACAAAATGCCAGCACTGCTCCTTTCCAAAATAAGTGAAGGGTGACTAGAATTGGGATGCACAAATCCAGATGGCCACTAGATGGCAGTAAAGGGTATCAGTGTTTTGTGTTTTTGTGTTTTTTGCAGCCAGATCTGGTAGCTGTGGAGAACTGCAGAGATAACTTTGTAGAAATGCTGAGGCAATACTAGCAAGAACATGTTGTATACCTGGGAACCAGAGAAAACAATGCTGTGAAAAGGAACTCAAAACTGACTTTTCCTTAATTATTTCCTATAAGAGGAAAGGGAGGGAAAACAGTTGGGCTTTCAAAACTTGTTACTATAGCCCAGTGGTGGCAAACTTATGGCATAGGTGCCAGAGGTGGCACTCAGAGCCCTCTCTGTGGGCACGTGTGCCGTCGCCCCAGTCCTAGGCCTTCAGCTGGGTTTTATAAAACCTTTTCGCTTTAGGCCTCCACCGCCGTGTGCAAAACAAAAAAGGTTCAATC